AAAGCAGCAACAACGCTACACATAAAAACTGATGATGGTGGAAAAATACACCGAAACGTATTTTGATTGATAAATAGAGACAATAAATGACTGACGCCCAGGAATTGAAACACAGTCAGGAAAGTATGTACATATTAATTAGAAACCAAAGTTACGAATATAAGAATAGCTCTATTTCACAATACGGTGACTTTATACAGGGAGCGTTTTATGGGGCATTATCAGCCATGTGCTGTATGGCAATAATTATCATGGGAGCCAAATACTACGCCAGCCGAGGAATGTTCGGATATCCGAAAAAGCCAGTATCAGTGGCTGGTTGCGCCGATTTCAACCTGAACATAACGTCTTACCTTAATGAGACGTAAGTACCCAGTTAATCACTCACGAAGCTGCAGCAAAAGTAAACTTCCTCTTAAACACCTTAGCAACTTCCGGGCAGAAAATGAGCCACTCCTTTTATTCAGACTGTCTTTCTACTGGTACACTATGATCGGATCACTGATTACCATAGCAGTGGGTCTAATCATAAGCCTTTTCACGAAGAAAGACGAAAAACAACTTGATCGAAAACTCATCAGTCCGATAGCCCAATTTATGCTGCCCCGAAAAAACGACCACGGCCACGTGCGTTATTCTGTAGAAAAGGAAGCTGTGGAAGGCGATGAATTGAACCCAGAAAATGCTTTCCTCAAAAAACACTAGGTTTAATAATGAATTTAATAATACATATAACGAAATATCACTAAGCTGCAACTAATATCAACTGAATTCCTATGTATGTATGTATAATTGCAAAGCGAAATTTTACTTAGCTTCGTTTAACTCTGGAAACATTTCGATTAGAAGCACATCGAAAAGGTTATAACAGAGCTGCAAAAACTCAAATTTGTATCAAGTTTAAAAACAAATAGCAACCTGCTCACTTGCTTGTTGTAGTGCGGGTTTTGTAATACATCCAAAAGAGTCCTTAAACCTTCGTTCATATGTCCTCCCAAACATCTGTCTAAATAGTTGGGACAAAACTCGATGTTTCTGAATGCTTTATCTTTTCGCGCATCATATTCGTCTGCCGTGTGATGACTGCGATGGGCAAAAATCGCGTCTGAAACAGATTAGCGTCATTACAAACACTTAGTTCGTCTTATTTCCCGCTGAGCATACCTTCCAATAATCTAATGAGATGCGCTAGATTATGTTGCGTTAACATAGTTTTAATCTTAGTCTCAATTACTAATTTAGCAAACAGATCCACCAGCTTCTGCATCACACTGCAAATCGCCACATAAATACGCAGCACAACATTATTTATTTTGAACACTTGTCTAACTAGAACAGGAAAAAATTTATATCACCACCGTTAAAAAGCTTACATGCATAAATGCTCACATAAGTAAAATAAACTTTCCGAAAACAACGCGGGGTTGAAATTGCTCGCAGAAATCCCAGGGTTTAAGTTACAGGGAATTGCAAAGTTATTTTTGAAAACATCATTATTAAAAGTTCTTGCGTGAGTTTGCCCGGAATGTTCGTCTATTGAAGCATCAAGCTCTACACCTTCCTCAGCTATGTCTACTTTTCTAAAAAGAATTTCAATATTCGCTTGTCATGTTCAACAAAAATATTCACCAAATACTTACTCTTGTTTGGGTTTTGTGACAGAGCTGACGAAGGTGTTGATAAAAGTGTCCAAATATTGCCCTTTTTCTTTCCTTAACTTATAAGCTACTGATTGATATATATTGCCCATATCTTGACTGTTTGGGGCCATAGTTGAGATAACTGAAAATTACATAAACAACATTACAAAATACATAACTTTCTACTGGTTAATTCCATTCGGAACTTACCTAAAGTGAAGTCGTCTTGTCTGGTGAGGAAGGTGTGAAGCAAATCACTACCCCTAAGACTGGGTTTCTGCAGCAATTTTATTAAAAAGCTTTCATACTTTGCGATGCGGGGCTCCACTAGCGCACCTGCTCTATTTTTAAATAGACCGACGCAATTACATATTGCAATTACAATTGCGTTACTCACTTTCTTGATGGCAACGGAGAATCGCATATCTCACTTTCCCCATGAAACTCCACCAGTTTAGACTTTAAAGTGAAAAAGTCCTGATCTTTTCTCCATACTAGCCAGTTATTCGAAATGCTTTGCAGTCCCGAATTGTCTACATAAGAAATGTTCAAACAGAAGTAGATTATTTTAGTGTCTGGAATAACCTGTTGAGCACACAGTCCATAACGAAAAAGGTTCCATGATTAAGCTAACTGTATGCTACCTTATAAGAAGATATTGTAACTTTCCAGTTACTCAAATCACGTGTGAGGTTTGCTGGCAGAAGATCATTTTCGGTGAAATCGGTTTTCAAGTGTTGAACACATCCTTCAACTGGTGTAGCAGTTTTTAAGACGCCCTTTATTTTTCCGATGCTGCTACTAAATTTTGAAACTGTACCATAGCTGGATTGTTCACAAAATCTTTTACTCCTGCAAAGTGCAAACAGTCAATATATGCTCTCATTCGCCTACGACCTTACTTTACGTGGCGATCCGAAGTAAAAACTGGGTGTTTATTGTTAGTAGACAATCCAGTAAATTACGTTAGTATTAATTAGGCCGTCAGCGAAAAAACAACAAAGCATACTCACTTTATCGCTGCTTTGTTGAACGACGATGTCGCTTTTGATCCACAGATGCACTTGTAAAACTGAAGCCAAATGCTAATGGAAATTCTTGAAAAAAACAGAATATATTGTCTATTACCTCGTTGCTGTGGAAAAATTGTGGGAGCCACAACCCCTCCAACTGATTAAAAGCAAAATCATAGGCTTGGTACAACGGCTTGGAGGTGCGCAGTTTTGCAACCCTATAAATATCATCAATAAGGGCGCTAAATTGCGCACAGATCCCCGAAGAACAACCAATAAAGTTAAACGAATCTTCTTGAAAGTATTCTTTGTGCAAGTTCAGCGCTTGCACGTGGAGTTCTTCAAGTTGTTTCTTGGTTAAATCTGGCGTGAGAAGCTTCGCATTGAAATCATCTGGAAGCGCGGCAAATGGCCAAGAACAGATAAACGCGTCCTTTTATATATGATTCATGTAAACTCACCAACATCCAAGCAAAATTGCAACAAATGCACTTGCTCTTGTTTCTTCAAAAACTGCATAAACGCATATAACAGATCAGTACTATTCTTTATTTGATTCAGCGAAGTAGCAAAGGGGGACCTTTTCGAGCTGTCCACTTCCACTAGAGTACACAAAAATTCTACTTCCGGGCTTAAATCTTGAGGTCTCGGCGTCCTCGATGGTTTATAATTGACTGTTAAAATTACTAAGGAATTTATAATATTGGGATCTGCTATAACATCCATTAAAGGCAGAAGAACCCAACCGGATAGTAGCTCTCGAAGCAAAACAGAGTAGTTTCTGTAAAGATTACATTTTTTAGGAAGTTGCTTATCAGTTTTAGCTGATTTTTCAGATTCTCACTTGCAATTTACGTAATTGTGTGGCAGAAGATATCTGATCAACTCATTGCTTAAATGTTGAAGATAAAGCAGTTCATTTTTTCGATTTGTGGTAGCTGGATGTAAATTTGTTCCCAGGTATTCAACAATAACATCATGGAACTTAACATTTTTCAGCTTTCCAATTTGGTGCATATAAAGATAGTCGTCAATGTGCTTGATTACCTACAATATCGCACATTTCAGCCTTCTTCAGTTGATGTGGTTGCTCCGTCTTTGCTTCCTGCAGTCGTCACTTACTTGTGGGACTAGTTTATTGGTGATAATCTCGATATGGTCGATTCGAAAAAATCGGTTTATTAAAGTAGCACTTGCATACTTGAAACAGTAGCGCAGTTCATTTACAAATTCGCCACTGTCAGTGAATTGGTTGTACCAGACCAAAATAAAATTAGTCAAGATCTTGTTAAAGAACTGAATAGGAAAGAAAAAACTGTAGAACTCAAAATACTGGAAACAAGTAATGTCAACTTACATGCTCAATTGCATTATTTAATTCTAGACTTATCTTAATATCCTTCCACGGTGTTGCACTGTGCGCGATATAATGTCGTCTGCATGTGAGATTGTCGCAAACGCTACATGATGCTTTTAATTTCGATAATTTTATAGTTGGGCTATGAGTATACCTTTCGAGAAACTTTTTCAAACATGAAATGGCATAATACTGATACTTGATCAACAGCAAAGATGCCAAGTATCCGAATATGTAACAGGAAAACACTAAAACACCTGAAAAGCTAAAATTTGAAATAATTGGCGATAGGACAGGACATTTTAATAAGTGTAAGTGTTTCCTACCTGGAAAAGAAACACAATAGCCCACAAAAAAGAATCACTGCGATACTAGACACTCTCACATAATTATCGGTATATATTAGTGTACAAATATGAGCAATATTTGCAAGAATCATCCCCATTATTCTAATTTAAAACAACTAAAGATGCATAGATGAAGACAAGAACATGCCATGATCATAGACATATAAGTGACACATAACCTGATATAACCATAGAACAAGGCTTACAGTCATGACTTGACTTGACTCTTGACAGACTTATCCATAGATGAAGACAAGTGGACTTGTCTCTGCCATAGACACAGATCACAGAGGTTACTCTGTGATCTGTGGTCCTGGCTGATTGCGCTTGCGCGTCTCACTGCCATGTTGCCGCTATGCACATACTTGGTAATGTTTGGTATCAGTCTTTATCTATGCTTGGGTTTTAACCGCCGGACCTTGCTCGAATACCGACGCCTAACCCATATAATAAATTATTATTATTATCATACTATGAATAATGTATTCATTGTATCATGAGAAAAAAATATCTGCCCGCCCTCATCGCCAATTCCAACCTCACTTAATTAATGTTTTGACTGCTGTAGAGTGTCAAGCGGAAAACGAACGTGTCCTAAATAGTGTCCCAAATTTAGTGTTTTTAATAAACAATCATAACAATATGCTTTATGTGAAGAGCGGTAAGTGTTCAATGTTCATTTAGTCAACTAAAAGCAGTAAAAGTCTATTTTCAGATGGTACTATTTGTCAGGAGCCCCCAATTCTGGAGAAGTTCCTGCGCCTTATCATTGGAGTGGTTGCATTTGTGATTTTTTTGTGAGTGTATAATTGGTTGTTGAGGTAGATTTTGTGAAACGTTAATATTTCAGCTTCAAGTCCCTAGTGGGAATGGACACAAGCAACAGCAAAAAGGGCAGCAGCTCAAGTCAAGGAGGATCCTTCTTTGGAAGGTTTAGTGGAGGTGGTGGAGGAGGAGGCGGAGGAAAGCCGTTTAGGTAAGTTCGAGCAATTGTTTCTAGGGAGTGCAAAGAGACTTCCTCTTTTAGGCCTGGAAAGCCTGGAGGAGGTCCCAATATTCGTACCATGAGGGACATTAATCCGCCCACTATACAAGGGGCAGGGGGCTGTCCTGGAGGCGGTTGCGGCATGTAATTTTTATTACTCTTGTGTTATGAAATTTCATCATTCACGTACTAAATTATAATAATTAAATCTAAGTAATGGTTATGAAATTTCTTTTGTTAAATTGAAATTTATTTATTTAGATTTATTCTCACTTTGACACCTATAAAGGAATACATTATATTTTTTCTACAATGTTCAGGTATTTAATAGGTTTGTTCCAATCAAGTTTTCAACGACATTTCCTTAGTTGAATGGGCAGGATTGCTATCGGCTCATTATCCGCAGGACTGTCCGCGTACAGAGACCAGGTCTTCTCAGTGAGGTTGAATATGCCTTAAATAAAATAATTGTATATACTTTCCTGACTGTTTCAGTTCCAAATCAAATTTATTCCTGGGTTTCAGTCATTTATTATCTATTTATCTATCCAAATACGTTTCGGTGTATTTTGATTGATAAATGCAGACAATAATGACTGAAACCCAGGAATGAATTTGATTTGGAAATGAAATAATGACAAACTAACACTTTTATGGGATGTTTTTTAGGTCGACTTAATGGCCATAGATTAACGATTTGGGGACAGTTTTTTCGATTTTATGCAACTTTTTTTTTTCTTTTCCATTTTTTAGTGCTTGATGTATCGGTAGTAAATATCGTTTTCATAGTGGATGACCCAACTGCAATCTCTCCTTTAAAAATTCGCATCTTGCAAAGTGAGGCAAGTAGCCATTCGATATATTCGCTATGTTTGGACAACGCCTTACTAAAGATGGCAAAAGCTTCATAAAAGTCGCGCAAAATCCTGATTTTTGCCACGGTCTTCTGAATGGATGTTTTCACCCCCAACTACTCTCCGCTTTAATCAATTATATATTCTAAACTAAGACAGGCGAGGCGGAATTGCGGCCAAAATGAGTATTCAGTGTAATTTTTTATGCGATAAACTGACCGGTTAAGAAAATAATGTAGCCATTGCATAATTATTGTGGCTATTAGTAGGCATGTAAAAGATGCGTAGTTTTTCGCAACACTGCGCGAAAAATGTTAAAGAAAACATGTCCCCAAAGAAAATTCAGCACACGGTGTCCCAAAAATGCCTTGCCTTACAGCTTTAAAGGTTTGTGAGTATATGTATAAAGCACCCCGTGTATTATGTGGAAACTTCCATACCCACACAGATTGTTTGGACAAAATCCTCTTTTTGACCTCTGAATACTCGATGGGTACAATCGGTGCAATCACTGAGCATGTTCTTCAAGTCTTCTTCATTAGTTGGTGTTTTATATTTGCTAAACGTGCACAAACGTGTCGCGCTACTGGCAGTCATCATCTCGTTTACTTCTTCGATAGTCAGCCGCAAATACCTGAAACTCGTTTAGCAAAAAATTTTCCCAGAATTGGCTGGGGGCGCGTCTTACGAATTAGTGTGATAGAAACACTCCCCAGGACTGATAGTAAGGATGTTTAGGTCCGATTCGCTAGCATTGCCAACAACTGGTCCAATTTCAGCATTATGAAACATGCGATTGCCATCCTGGTTCAGGAAAGTCATATTAATCGAACATCCATCTCCAGCTCCACATCCGGAGTCTCTAAGGATTTGTTGGGCTTGCACGAAATTTTCCGCCCCCAGTAGAGCTCTGGCAATGAAATGGCGTGCTAAAAATACAGCTTTATTACGGAATCGCTGCGCTAACAAGCTACCTACGAGTTTTTCCGGTTCGTAAATGTTTGGCGCTCACAGTGTTTACGGAAAATACCAGACCATGATGGTTGTAGTTCATGGTGTAGCCGGGCAAATGCCCAGCGTAGCAAAGGGAGGTGAATTTTTCCTCTTGAACCTGCCATTTTCCTTGCGGCTTATCAGCGATTATGTGGGCGGATACAAAGTAGAAGTGGTTTAGGGTGGAAGCCAACGCGTCTTCAGTGTGCCCCAGCAACTCCTAAAGTCCGTAATAGGTTTAGCTACTGAATCCTTTCAGCCGTTCGGATTGAATTACTGTTTCATCATACTGTTACATAACAGGTCGTAATGAAACCGTAGTTGCTAATGGTTATTGGATAGGAAAACCTAAAGGAAATATGACTCGTAAGGTCCAAGCAAGGTCAATAGCGTTAACATTCCTGGCACTAAATTAAATTAGCTGGTTTGAATAAAAATGCAGTTTTCTTTTCACACTAACGCACTTGTCCGTGTTGATTTATGCATATGGTTGAGCAGCCTGTTGGCTGGGTTGCTCTTTGCTTCTGGCCGGCGTTCAGAATGATATCATCCATGTGCAGAAGGAACAACTGCAACATTAAGTTAAGTACTGCGGATTTTCTTTGCTACGGTCCAAAACCTTATGGAAAGGCACTTGCGCCCCATCGGCCGTCCCTTCTAGTTCTCGTATATATTGGGGAAAGTTCGATCGTAGGCATTTTAGGGTGTCGTCATAGCCGTTTCTACCTTCCGGTGTTGAGTAGGCCTCCAAGTAGCTGGGAAGGGCTTCAGCCACCCTCAAGTAGCTTTGAATTAGCCCGGAAAATGTACGCCCCTGAAACAATGCATAAACAAGTTCAATCACTTTACTTGCTATGATAATGGTTTAAGCGAGAATTTAGCATTCATTATCTCCATTGTTCTGTTTCAGACAATTATTTATGTATGTGATTTCAAAGCGGCCCCTTAATGTTCATCAGCAAAATTCAAATTTATCGCCTTGATGTTTATTTCAAAACTGACCTACTAAACCCTTAATTATGTACCATTTAACTATTATCACAATCGATAATTTATTTCCGCTCTTACTCCGTTATTTTGAGGAATTGCGTGTTGTTTGTATTGAGGTCGCGTGAACCAGTTTCGTACATCATTGAAGAAACGTAAGGAAATCATACCGATTGGTCGATAAGTGTATGATGAACAAGTTCTTTTGTCTTCTCTCCCTAGGCCTAGTCTACTTTTTATATTAGTCTACGTTTCCCCACAGCATTGTTTCAATATAGGTAATATTATTTTTAAATTTGTTATGATATTCCTATCTTTCCTGGGTTTCAGACACAGTGTGAAGTAAAATCGTTTATTTCAATACGTTTCGGCGAGACAACAGCGCGATCATCAGATTTAAAATTTACACAAACTCATGATTGGTAAAAATCAACGTTCTTTTAGGTCTTTGCCTTCTTGAAACCTTTCAGGGAAGAAGGTCGGTTAATATGAATTTTAACTTGATTTATTTTCCTGACTGCGTGTAATTGTGATTATATTCTTATCCTATATTTGAATATCGTTTATTTCATTACGTTTCGGCGAGACAACAGCGCGATCATCAGATTTAAAATTTTAAATCTGATGATCGCGCTGTTTCTCGCAGTCAGGAAAATCATCATAACAAATACACGCAGTCAGGAAAATAAATCAGAATTATTTTAAAATTTAACGGTCTTAAACCGACAGTGTAAACGTTTATTATCAGCGTGTATTGCTGCAGGCCTTATCAGTAACCAATTGCTTTTTGCTATTTATTCTATATTTAAATATCGTTTATTTCATTACGTTTCGGCGAGACAACAGCGCGATTGTGTCCCAGACAAACTCAAGCTTTTCAAGAAGGCAAAGACCTGAAAGGACGTTAATTTTTACCAATCATGAGTTTGTGTAAAATTTTAAATCTGATGATCGCGCTGTTGTCTCGCAGTCAGGAAAATAAATCAGAATTATTTTAAAATTTAACGGTCTTATCTTATTATCAGCGTGTATTGCTGCAGGCCTTATCAGTAACCAATTGCGTTTTGCTATTTATTCCACAGTGTATATCACAACAAATTGACTAATCTAGCAGACTGTGGGCTACATTTTAAAGTTTTCTTCAATTAAACCGAATGCTCCAAAAAACTTATATGCTGATTTAACACTGCCAACATTTCCGCATCAATGGTTCAATTACAAAAAAACGCACAAATCTAAAAGCTCTTGAAATCAAGACTTTTTGAGAAAACCGCCCACATTTCCTTATCGTTGGTTTACTTTCTAAAAAGCCTATTTAGTTCTCTCTGGAATGGTTTAAAAACGAGCGTTTTTACTGATTTCGAGCAAAAATGGGACGGAAAACATGAAATGTTGGCCTAATCTTGCACCTAAGTGTCTGATGTTGAAATTCAAAGAAAACTGCTCGAATTTCCTCCCTCATGTTGTTATCGCTGAATCGAATTTTCAATTTTCTATAAAATGAGCCACCCTGTACCATCCATTAATTGTTTTTGCTATTTAACGGCAAACCGAAGGTAAAATACTTATAATAGTTAGTTTCCGCAGGCATTTTTGCGTAAGTAAACCATCTCAAATTGCACGGGAGCGTCAATTAACTGCGTTAATTGACTTTATGTGGCCATTAGTCTTTCTTTAATTGCTCAAAATTAACATCACCATTACAGATCGAACTGCAGTTTTGTTGCAAACTTCGCATTTTTTTAATTCTTTAGATCTTTACATGGTCTAATCAGCCACATTAGTTTAAGAGAGTGCCATTCCGGGGCAAGCCTAAGTAAATAGCTAAAAAATACTTACCACGTCGTACCCAACTTCATAGTGAGTGCCTCTGGTGTATAAAATGGGAATACAATTCCTACGCTCCAAATTCGGGTCGGCAGTCGGCATGTTGATTTTCACAATTTTTTTAAATCGAGAACACCACACTGATTAATCTGATAACAAGAGAGTAAATGGGGATAACGGCAAACAGTCGGATAATTCAATTAATTGATATCGCTGGACTTTTTTACCGCTTTCAGTGAGGCTTAGAAAGCTACTGCTTAACCGCTTTAAACTTAGAAGTTTTCGAATACATGTAGCTGTGCGCGCACTGTTTCAAGTAATATTGATTAAACTGACCGCGGAAACATTATCTTCCAAGTCCCCACCAGATTATTGTCTTCAAAGATGAATACATACCATGCTTAGAAAAACAGATCCCGATTTGCGTAAATGGCAAATTAGCACCGTTGTGGCGCTGATCGAGTTATCTTGAACAAACAGCATTGTTTCGGACTTTCAAAACCACAATCTCGTTGATTGACCATCAGACCGAAGACGTAATTTAAGCTGATAGTGACCAACAACAGTTTAATCGCGAACTTGCACTCAATACAATGCATCTTCTTGAAGAAATTTATTCACGAAAACCAGTCAATCCATAGAACTTGCATTTTCTTCAATTAAATAATGCTGTGACTAAAAGTAAACTTTCACTACTGTTTTAAGTGCTATTTTAGGACAATTCCAGGATTCTGCAAGCATGTAACGAACAAACAATTGCCAATATAAGATACAAACAATGTATTTAAAAAATGGGTAAACTATAACATATGTTACGTAATCAGCAAGACTACATGCTGTCCAAAATGCATGGATAAGTCAACCAAGAATATAAAAACAGCATTTACTCCAGCTGGGATATCTCATAGAGGTACGCAGCTAGAAGCTTCACCTGTTTAAAAACCAACACATTCAGTTCGCGTGCTTCTCAGCGCAACAGTAAGTTGCTTACCCCGCCAATGTAGTTCCTAACGTCCAGTTTTTCGTTTTGGGAGTGCGCCCCATCGTCTCCAGCCCCCACGGGCAAAAGCAGAACGTTTTTCCCTGTAGCCTGCTGCAGGGTTAATGTAACTGGGATTGAACCACCTGAAAAAATCGTTTTGCGTGGTCGATTCGCGTTTTGGGCTGCTCACACTTACCTTCTCTAGTCAAGTCTGGGTCTACGTTGTAGACATATTTCGTCGCTTTCACGGCAGCAGTATAATGCGGATGTGACGGGTTTTCAGTCCATGGAGAACCGCCCTCAGCCATGTAAATCTAAACACAAACTTTAGCTTACTATTGTTGAGCGCAATCCCCATATTTGACTTCTTTTTCGCCGTTAATTCAATTATCCATATCTTTCCCATTCGTATTACTTACTCTCATGTGATTGGGGCTTCCTCTCTGATCCCAGAGCTTCTGGACATAGTTGCAAACATACTGTTCCACCTTATCGGGAGTTTGATTAGGGACGATTCTTATGGAAAACTTGCCAATCACTTTGGCTGGAATGACTGTTTTTGAACCTGGTTCACTGAATGCTCCCTCTGCAACCGGCACAGATTAATTTTTTGTGTTTGAAATGTACCTTTCTGTACCTATTCCGTGAAGAGATAAAGACGGATACCTCCAACGGTGCATGAGAATCTTCTCCTTTACTTCGCCATGCAGAAGCATTTGGCACTTAACATCTGCACGGTACTCGTTGACATCAAAGTCGATTTTCTCGTAAATCTCGTTTTCGTTTTCTTAAAGTTTATCAACAATTGCCGTCGATTGTAAGCAAGCATTATTTTCAAATCTACCTAACAATGGGGCTACTTCATTATACATTCCATCGACTAGAATTTTTCCATCTTTATCCACCAAAGTGTTCATCAAGTACACCAAGTCTGTCATAGCTTCATGGACAGTGCCTCCAAAGATTCCACTATGGAGATCTTTGCCTGCAAGCGCAATGGAAAGTATGTTAAATGATGGAGGCCAGCCATCAATCACATGGCCCTTCCATGTGTGTAATCTATTTTCTAATAGCTAAATGCTTTTGGTAAAAAGCCAGGATTGATAAGAAACCTTTTAGCGACGAGTATGTTAAAACGCACAAAACGGTTCGTTTCAAATGAACAATTTTCTTTAAAATCATACGTGCTAGACTCTATAGTACGTTTGCCTAAAAATAGACATTTTTTCTACTATTTTACACCGACATGCACAACTAATGCAGCGAATGAGAATGTTTTAGGAGAGACGGACACCTAGACTGGTTTTGTGTTCTTTATAAACTAATTGGCAAAAGATAATTGCTGATTTTTTGCAGATACTCGATTTCTTTGACTAGAAATCGGTGCCTAGAAAGTATTAGCAAATTCAAAAATTTCTCTGAAGGCTCTAAAGCCACTTGCATATACGTCTTTGCAAAATATTTTTTTTCCTAGAATTTTAAAGTTGACGCCGCTCCGTATTTCAATACCATCCACTCTTGAGTGAAACAAATCGCGTTGAATCCTCATCATTTCACCCAGTTGTGTTATAAAGTACCGATTTTAGACACTTGCCTGCACAAATCACTTCGATAAAGAAATAGCAAACTCCTCGCAACCCATAAGTGATGCAAGGTTTGTTCTTTCCCAGCCAATAATTGTCGGAAATGCACACATAGTCAACGGAAGATAAAAACTTGTCCTTCTCTGACAAGAGAAGTTGATCTAGGCCATCACTGCCACTTTCCTCCATACCCTCAAAGACGAACTTTAAGTTCACCGGCAAATTTTCTCCTAAGTCTTTGTAGGCCTCAATTGCGTGCATCCAACAGAGAACTGGTCCTACAATAATGAAATCATCAGAACGCGTGCTTTTGCGAAAAGTAGCTTGAGGGCTCTACCTTTGTCGTCTGACGACCCTCTTCCATAGAGCTTCTCATTTTTCTCAGTTAGTTCAAAGGGTTCACTGTCCCAACCATCACTAATGTGAGCTGGCTGAACATCCAAATGCCCATAGACAAGAACAGTCTTCTTTTTAGGGTCAGAACCAAGATGACCGAGTAAAATAGGCGGGTACTTCAGTACAGTGCCATCAGCCAGTTGCTGATTTCCTATGGTTTACATCTCAAAATGGTGTGTTACTTTTCCTGAAGTGGTTATTACCAATGTCTCTCAGTTCTGTAGTCGCCCCTAAATTTTGCAAGCGGGTCTGCGCCCATTCCATCATTTTTACTACTTCAGGCCGGGTGTGAGGCCATGCAGACACCGACTTAATTGCCACCGCCTCTTTTAGCAGGTCTATGTAGAGTTGTCGCTTCGACTCAACATGCCTTGGTTGGAGTTTTAAGGTAAATTGTATTGTAAACAAGTTGTTGGGGAAAAATTGTTATTGCATACACAAGGTGATACATATATGAGAAAGAGCCGTTAAATTTAAAGATAGAAACAGTGGCTTTTCAGGCTTGGGTGCTTCATGTATAGTGTGAGAGTGTACTCAATAGATGATCAGAAAACGCCCCTTCCTCATAAGACAACTTGTATATGAATAGTCTGGCTTTGATGTGGTGATGAAGACTATTAAATGATGAGTTATGGTGCATTAATTACTTATGATAATGTTACTTACTTAAACACCTTGGAGAGAACCACAGGTAATGTCATGATTATGAACAAATCGCGTCTAACAAATAAACGAACTTGGATTTTATACACACAGAACTAAATTGAGCAAATAAAAGATAGGAATTGATTAAAACAAGCGATAAAACCCCACTTAGTACTTGTTAAATAAATTATGGGTAATTTTATTTAGCCGCAGAAATTTTGTAGTTGTGTCAATTTGTCATAGTTGATTGCCAAGTGAAGCGAGGTTAGCGCGGTAATGACGTAACGTAATGGCGGTAATGGTGTAATCTCGAATTATTCAAATCACTTTAATAAGTACATAATAATAAAAAATCTCATAGTTATCGACAACTTATTAAGCAGGTTTATAAAGAAAATTGTTTTGAATTTTTTAAATCAAATCTGCTTGAAATCGAAGCATCAATTGGCAACGTCGGGTTCGGATCTTTAGCGCCCAAGATAGGTCTTAAGTCGATGTAAGTCGATTGTAGAATAATACACGGCGGAAGAGTTGACAGTTGACAAACAGTACGCAGATTCAGCCAATCAGAGCGTCCCGATTTGTTAGTTTCTGCCCCATTTATATAGAATTCCGCACTTATCCGCCATTACACATTGAGTTGTCTTGATCTATGGACATGCCCTGGGTACTCTCACTTAAAAACCTAACCGAGAAAAACTGATTTTATAGTCGCCACTGTAGGAAAATATTCTGTGGATGAATGCGATAACTCACTATGGTCAAGTCAGTCTCCATTGTCTTGTCCATGTCATTGTCATTGTCACCACCAACTTGTCTTTGTTTATGTCAGTCACTTGTCTGTCTATGGTGTAAATGTGTAAATAGAAGTTACTTCGGCCTGAAAAGCTGCAAAAACTCAGAAGCACAGACTACATACTAATGCATACATCCTCAGAAGTAATGCTGTGAAATACATAGAACCCTAGTGCAAGTAATCAAGAATGCCAACCATGAAGGACTCTTACATAGTAAAAATTGCTGTGGAAATGACCGAGCAGGTCCCACAGCTGATTGAATTTAATCAAAAGCAGCC